TGAATTTATTTTTCACATGAGAAGAACATGAATTTTAGGGGGTGTAATATTGTGAAATATGTATTTGGTCTTAGATCCTGCTTCCTGATATATAGTCCCTAAACCCTTGGAATCTCTGGAACAATAAGTGTCTTTCATTTGCTAATGAGATGACTGATGGCTGGGGATCTCTAGATAGCTTCAGGATGGGAGTTGATTACTGGAAAGACCTAGGCACGATGAGAGGGTTGGGACTTTCAGTCCCATCCCTGACCTCAGGGGAGAGAAGGGAGGCTGAGGGAGAGGGACTGAAGGTCAACTCTATCACCAATGGCCAGTGAATTAGTCAATCAAGTCTATGGAATCAAGCCTCCATAAAAACCCAAAGGGCTGTATTTGAAGAGTTTTGGGAGGGTTGAACACATGGAGGTTCCTGGAGGGTGGCACACCCAGAGAGGGATGGAAGATCTGTGCTCCCTCCCTACATGCCTTACCTTTCATCTGGCTATTCATCTGTATAGCCTTTACTATATTCTCATATAAACCAGTAAACCTGAGTTTGAATATTCTCTCCAAACCTTATGTCAGCATTTAATTGCCAATGTAACAATACTGAGAGGTGGGGCCTTTAAGAGGCAATTAGTGTCATTATCATAGGAGTGGGTTAGTTATCATGGAAGTGGCTTTCCTGATAAAAAGGATGAGTGGGGTCTTATTAGGTCTCTCTGTCTCCCATGCTTGGCGGCCCTCTGTCATGTCATGATGCAGCAGGAAGGCCCTCATCAGGTGTGGCCACTCAATCCTGGACTTTTCAGTCTCCAGAAGCATAAGCCAAATAAATCTCTTTTCTTTATAAATTACCCAATCTCATATTTTGTTATAGTAGCATAAAACAGACTAAAACAGTAAGTAAAGTGTTTCCATGAGCTCTGTAAACCACTCTAACAAATTAATTGAACACGAGGAGAGGGTATTGAGAGCCCTGATTTATAGCTGGTTGGTCAGAAGAATAGGTGACAACCTACTACTTGTGACTGGCATCTGAAGAGGAAGCAGTCATATCGGCTGAGCCCTTAACCTGTAGGATCTGATGCTATCTCCAGTAAGACAGTGACAGAATTGAATGGAATTATAGGACACCCAGGTGGTGTCCACTGGAGAATTGATTAGTTGCTGGTGGGGAGAAATCTCCAAATTTTGGTGACTAGAAGTGAAATATTCAGGACTGCATTGAGTGATTGTGTAAGAGAGAGATAAACTCTACCTTATTGGCCAGAGGGCAGATAGTTATGGGTTGGATTGTATTCCCCACCCCAGCCCCAAATTCCTATTTTCTCAGTACCTCATAATGTGACTACTGTGGATAAACTGTATCCTCCCCATCCCCAAATTCCTATGTTGAAGCCCTACCCCGCAGTGTGATGGTATCTGGAGAGAGGGCATTCCAGAAATAATTGGTTTAAAGGAGGTCATGAGGATGGGGCCATCATGATAAGATTAGTATCCTCATAAGAAGAGACACCAGATAGTGTGCTCACTCATTCTTTTTCTGTCTGTCATGAAAGAACACAGTGTGAGGCTGGCTGCCTGAGAGCCAGGAAGAGAGCCCTTACCAGAACCTAACCATGCTGGCACCCCAATTTCAGACTTCTATATTCCAGAACTATGAGAAAATAATTTCTGTTGTTTAAGTCATCCAGCCTACAGCATTTTGTTATAGCAGCTTGAGTTGACCAATAAAGAGATCATATTTGAAAACAGTGTCCTTATACATGTAATAAGTAAGCTGAAGTTATTAGAGTGGGCCCTAATCCAATATGACTGGTGTCCTTAAAAAAGGGAGAAACTGGGACACAGAAACAGATGTGTGTAGAGGGAAGGTAATATGAAGAGACTCAGGGAGAAGATGGCCAAGTAGAAAAGCCTGACCCAGATTCCCCTTCACAGCCTGAGAAGGAACCAACCCTGATGACACCTTGATCTTGGACTTCCAGCCTCTAGAACTGAGAGAGAATAAATTTATATTGTTTAAGCCACCCCATTTGTTGTGGCATCTCTAGCAAACTAACCCAATGCCTCTGAAAAATTGTGAGTAGCCTGATTTCCTATTGAGAAATACAGAACTTACAAGATCCACACATGCTTGGAAAAGCCAGACACATGTCATTTTACTCATAAATGATCATCTTAAATTGAAGTTCTTCATTTTAAGACATGGACAATAAGTTTTGGGAATGAAAATTTGCTATGCCCATAGGATCAAAAGTCATGAATTTACTAGCTATTCTCTGCTATATATTTGAAAGTTTGGGTATTTATTGTTTATGAAAAATAATATACTTTCTTTTTACTTCAAGCTGCATTAAATTTAGGTTGAAACTAACACATTCATGGAACTTGGTATTTCAGAAGAATATTCAATATGTTCCTTTTTAAATAATGCCAGATGTCCATATTAATTTAGATATTGGCCAATATAATGTATTATTTTATGACAAGCAATGCAAACTGAATTGACTATATTAGAAAACAATATTATCAAGACCTTTTAGAGTTTATGATGTTAAAAAATATCAATTTTATTTTCAGCAGCAAGCTACTGGAGATTCAAGTATTTGGTTTTCAGTTACAAAAGAAAGTACTTTAAAGACTATGGCGGAAACTGAAGTCAATGCTTTTAATACAATCTCCATGGCAACATGGGAAGGAGCACAGTCTGGTGGGCCAAATGAAAGCCACAAACTCTCAATTTCAGACCCTAGCATTAACTTACCACAGAAAGCCACGTTGGTACCTTGGCATTTCATCTCTGCTATTAACTGAGGCACTCTGGTTTTACTCAAAAGAAGGGCACTGCCTTGGTCCCATGTACTTGATATAAGCATTTTACTAAATTAGTACTATTATTTAATGTTCTGAAACAATAGATTGCTCACACTGATTTTCTAGGTTGTCACAAGGACATCAGCAGCAGTAAATAGAAAATGCAAACACCAAATAAGTTCTCTAAATGTCATATAGAGATAAGACAAGAATGTAATCTTCAAATTTTATTTGAAGGATCTACTTTATTTACATACATAAATTACCATGGTATTTTAAAAAATAAGTATTTAGAATCTGAAAAGCTACTGACTGAGCATCCTGACCGTATTGTTTTGTTTACATTTTTCACATTTTCAGTAAGGAAATGTTTTCCATAGGAAATTGTATAACAATATAATGCGTATAATTTTTAACTGTAGTTTAATAAATTAGTTAAGATTTTCCTATGATGATATCTTGCTAATATGAAGATCATTTGCTTCACATTTGAAACACAACAAAAATAAGAAATAAACAAGTCTCTGAGCTGCAATAGTTAATAAAAGTTAACATTTACTTAGAATTTTTTACATGCCAGGAACTGCCCTGGGCACTTCACATGATCTCATTTAATCCTTACAATGACCTTATTAAGTAGATGTTATTATTATCATCCCCATTTTATTGATGACTAAGTTCAGGAATTGTTTAGTAATTTGCCCAAGGTCTCCCAGTGATAGGGTCAGAATCGGGGCCTGTATATTTGATCATTGTGTGCTACTGCTTCTCAGAGATGTGTCTACTTTGTTAATTTTACTCATGTAGTAATATACTCAGAACTGGACTCAGTTCTTTCTACTCTAATTTAAATGCAATTCCACCAAATTTGGTTATCCAATCACCTAAGATTACTATAAGGAGCAAATTAGAAAGGTTTGGAGCAGGGTTCCTGTAAGCAGAAAATTGGACAGGAGTGGTGGCACATGCCTATAATCTCAACACTTTGCCAGGCTAAACTGGGAGGATTGCTTGAATCGAAGGTCAAGACCAGTGTGGACAACATAGTGAGACCCTGTCTCTAAAAAACAAACAAACAAATATAGAAAGTTCAAATAGGGACTCAAAGTATAATAATAACACAGGATTTTCCAGAATAAGAAAAAGATGAACAAGGTTTTGGAAGAGTGGGTAGAGATATGGAAACAGTAACGACCATTTGTGGAGCACCTCTTACGCACCAGGTGTCTGCCTTCATCATCTGCTAATCCTCACATGGCCCTGCAACGCAGGCTGACATATCTCCATTTCGAGAAGTGCTGCTGCCTACCCAAGCTCTCACAACAGAAGAGCCAGACTTACTGGGTGCAAAGTCCAAGCTCTGAACACTGCAACGCACTGCTTACCTTGTATTAGGAAACAAAGGAAGGAAAGAAAATCTTGAAAAGGTTTTTATAAAAGTGATGACAATGGATACGCTTTTTGGCATTGAAGAGGTATAACAGCTTCAAGTTACCTGAAAAAATGACTCACCCAAAATTCATCCGACGGTGGTAAGTGAGGTATTATAGTATACTTTTTAACTTTAAAAAATTCAAACTTAGAAAATCCATAAGCTTAAGTTGTGCAAATGGGGTATTCTTCATGTGATCTCTTGTCTTTAATTGTCTGGTATTCTTTTTTTTTATACTACCAGTACTGGGGGTTTATTTAGTGAACATTCTTAGCAAATTCAAGGCAATGTGCCAACAAGTAGAGTGGCATAAGAATGCTATTTGGAAGGGCTAGAAATTCAGCACAGGAACACGCATGCGTGCACATGTAGAACTCAATCACATGCTTTTGGTTAGCAATACCAATTAAATAGAAGGGCTGGGCTCGTCCTATTATACAACACATTTTTTTCTTGCATCCCTTATTGACTAAAGACTATTGTGAATAGAGAAATAGCAGGAAATCACTCCCACAAAACTGAGTTACTCTGAATAATATATACAATAAAACTGTTCTGTATGTGACCGAAAAAATTAACGAATAAAGGGAAGTCTGTGGTTTTCTTGTGAAAATGCATATTGTTTCACTTAGTTGTGTCATAGGAAGCATACTATGACCCTTTACAGCTGCTGCCAAAGCACTGCTTTCATGCATGGCTTCCCCAATCCCTGACACTGCATCCCTCTCCTGGGCGTAAGCCCTGGTGCCCACTTAGGTGTGATTACCCCTGGTGCAGCCCTGCCATTGGCGTCTCTCTCAAGGGAAAGAGCTTGGGATATACGATGGTAAACATGGGCTCACTACACCGGTGACAGTGCCCCAGGGGGCAATGCAGCAGCTCCAGGAGACTTCTGGGTAATGAGATTGGAGACAGAAAGTTCAAATCTGGAACACAAGAGAAAACCATGCACATGAGTAAAAAAATCAGATTTCCTTAGACTAGGTTTCTTACAATATTTCTCTTTGTTATCAAATACGTTCAGTTAGCTAAAAGTACTTCATGTTGGAAATTCTGTTATCTGCTAGGCATTGAATAAAAATCTGACATCATTTGGAAATGAAAGATGTTTTTTACATTTTTGATACTAAAAGAAAACATAAATTCACTCTTTGAAGAGCAACCAGAAGCTGTCTGAGGTATAGGCAGGGAAAGAATAAGATCAAATGTTTTTTAGGAACAAAGATCAAAAAGGCATCAATTTACCCGGAGAGGATTTTGTAAGCTTTTATAAGAGTCAGAGAATTTTAAAAGGACAGGAACTGAAGACTAAAACTGACTTTTATTAAGTTCTCCCTAAATTTAGGCATTTAGTATCAATCAAGCATCAATCAAGGCTAGATCATATTTATTGAAAAGAATGAAAAGCAGAACATAAAAGGAGATGAAAAATAATGAACCCAAGTTTTTTCTTGTCTCACTCCCATGAGTTATCATTAATAAAAATAGGGAGCTTCCTTCCCAGCTTAGACCAAGCTACACAAAAGAGATGTTTAAAGTGAAACATCCCAGTAGCCCAGGCAATCTTGAGCACAAGTTTACACTGGGTTCCTACTGATGATAAACATCCAGTGGAGAGAGTAATGGCCAAGTTGAGTAGTGAAATCCAAAAAAGTATCGACTCATCTTTGGGAAGGAAATACAAATCATCTTCTTACCTTTTATATCTGCCCAGACTCATCAATAACCACTAAGAACAATGTTATTTACTCATAGGCAAATATTGGTAATTTTCTGTTTAGTTGAAAAAAACAACTTAACTTTGCACTAGCCATTTCTGGAAGGTTAACAGTAGATGTTTTTGTAGAGATTATTATTTTTTTAATTTAAAGGAAAGACAAAAACATTTAGCAGCTTTAAAAAACACTTGAAATGTATTTTTCTTATTAATACTGCCTAGTGCTTTCTTAAAGCATTTCAGACATACACCCACAATACCTACAAAATACACGCATTGCCAAATCCTTTCCAAAATGAGCTGGCGTGCTGTGTAATGCTGCCAAAGGCTCCTGATATTTCTTTTCATTTAGGTAAATACATTTTCTCAGATGTGTGGAGGTGGCAAGGCAAAAACCAGCACTGTGGGAAAAGGGATCCCACTTTGCTTTGTGGATAAGATCTTTCCAAATTTTCACCACTGACAGCCTTTCACTTCAACCAAATACGCATTCCCAAACACCCGTTTCCTTCATGGAGGTCACAGAGTTTAACTTTTAACCTCTGTCCTTTGCAACTAAAGACTATTTTAACAAATGCTTCTCTGTTTCTGTAAGGGGTGCTAAAGGAATTAGTTTAATTTTTATTAATATTTTTACCAAAACTATTTTTCTTGTAAGAAAAATCCCATTGCACAATGATGTAAGTGTACTTAATGCCACTGAATTGTATACTTAATGATGGATAAAATGGTAAGTTGTGCGATAAGTGTATTTTACCACATTAAAAACATTTTTAAGACAAAAACCAAAACAGGCAGCATAAATTCAGGCAGTGAATTTTTATGTTCACTGAATGAGAAACAGAAAAAAGGAAGGTTCCAGTTACCTTTTAGGAAGCTATGGTAGGTGTGATATAGACATCTCATGGCCAGCTCTTGCAGAGGTAGGACATGATCATTCTCCGTCCCTATGGCCTTCACCTCAGCTGGGAGGAAAACAGTTAGCTGCCCTGATGAGAAGGAAAGCAGCTTCACCTCGGAGACTTGGATGGGAGCACCACAGCTGCAGAAAGACACACATCACAGTAGCACTAGCAATAAGGAAAAGAACATGGGTGCCAATGAAATGTGTTAATCAAAATATACATTTGAAAATTTATGACATTGCCGAACTGCCAGAATTCTTTTCAAAGTGAACAGATGCTCTCCTGGGTTCCTTAATAAAATTTGGCTCAGACACCTAAACTCATCAGTTGGAACTTAGTCTAAAACATTGCTGAGGACCCATTATTTCCAGCAAGGACAAACTTTAAAGGAATTTTCCTTCTTAGGATCTATACAGATTTTAAATGGCGAAAGATAATTTTATTGGATCCTTCCATAAACTTGTGGGGAAACTTTTCTTGGCATGTTGAATAAGCCAAGTCATGCCCTATTCCCTAGAGCCACTCATCCAGAAGGCAGAGATGTCTGTGTTCCTTCAGTTGCAGGGTGGCCAGAACTCAGGAGTCTAATTCCATTCTACTTGTTTGAGACCACTGGGTAACCTAAATGCCTCAATACTTTTCTTCCTTAACAACAAACAGGTGCCAACAAATCTTGGCTCTCCAAACACAACATGAGATAATATCACGGACCTCGACCAGAAACAGGCAATGAAGCATAGGGCACAGGACTGGAAGGCAGAAGCTCTTGAATACTTTGTGAAAAGTTCCTTCATTTGTTCATTCTTTTTCTCCATCAGAAAACACTTCCAGAGTATCTACTATGTACCAATCAGTGAAACTACTTAGATTTAAAAAACGAAGATGACCCCCTTCCTTTGGTGGAATAAGTATAATACAGTTGTTCTAATGTTGAGGCAGAGAAGGAATGATTGACTCTGTGCAGGAAATTTGGGAAGATTTTAGATAAGTTAGTGTGTGGCTTAGCACACAACCGATTTCACCAGCAAGAAATGAAGAAATCTATGTTTCAGCATTCTAAGTAGAGGGAACAGCAGCATGCGCAGCAGCAGTATAGAAGCCTGAAAGAATATGGTGAGGTCTATGGTTTCAAGGCAGCTGGAAAAAGGGATACAGGATATGAAAAGGTGGGAGGAGACCGCCTATTAGCTGAAGTAAGATGGTTTTAATTCACAGGGAATGTTAGACGGATTTTACAAAACTATCTGGCCACAATATGGCGAAAAGGGAGAGACTGGTAGCAAAGAGGTAAAGAAAACCCAAACACAGAAGGAAACAGGAATGGGGAAGTCATTAGGGTCCTGAAAGTGAGAACTTGAGATAAGTAGAAGAGGTATAGGATAGTTATTGTGAGTAAGAGGCCAGTGGCTTTCTCTGCAAGTTCCTAAAGCAAGTAATTCATTCTTTCAGACTACTGATAATCTGTGGGTTTGATCTGTTTTAAATAGAAATGTCATTAAATTTCACAAGCAGGAAAGTGAGTCATATGTGATGTGGGCTGGACAAATTTCACTTCTTTTTCATACAGAGCTATTTTTTATTGATTTGATCATAGGAGTTCTGGTTTTTACCCAGGAATTCTTTTGTTTTTAAAGTTATTAAAACAATCTAATATTGTAAATTTAAATTATAAAAATAATAAATGTTCATTGTTACAAGCCGAACAATCTAGAAAATGAAGAAGAGTGAACAATTTCCTCTAAGTTTCCCTTGTCAAACCCTCTTTCCACCTTCCACAAAGTAATTATGCCTGTCAGTTCACTGTTTATCATTCTACTCTTTTCTCTATGATCAGGTAAGTATAGACAGATAGGTCCTCCCTCTCCCCTTGTTTTTTTTCCAACAAATAGCATAACATAATTCTGTAATGTGCTTTTGCTCATGTAATCCTTCAGGTTAATCAAGATAAAGTTAGAAGGTTCTTTTTAATAGCTACATAATGTTCTTTATGATGAATTAATTACACTTTATTAACCTATTCACTTTGTTTATCCTGGTCACTATGTTTACCCCGGCTTTTTACAAGTTTTCCTTCTTAATGCACAAACAACATCATAATAAATCTTACATACATTCCTACACAGAGATTTTTAAAAAAATTTCCAAACTGAGATCGCTGGCCATGAAAACTGAAAAATTTAAATGCCTGAGAACTTTCCAAAAAGATTGTTAAGAAAGCATCCATTTCACCACATCATCATCAGAACTGGATGTTAACAGTCATTTTAGACTTTTGATAATCTGATTGCTGAAAATCGTCTTCTTGGTTACTAAAGAATTTTATCACTTTTTGCTATGTTTATTGGCCATTTGCATTTCCTCTTCTGTGAACTTTCCATTCACATCCTTTGCCTAATTTTCTACTGAATGAAAAAATCAATGTGTAGAAACCTTCATTTTGGCAGTAACAATCCTTTGTCATATGTACTGAGGTATTTATTTCCAAAAATATATATATATTTTTAACTTCGCAAATAGTGCCTTTTCCCATTCAGTAGTCATTCTTTTCTGATGTAATATTTATCCACTAATTTCCTTCATGGCATCTCCATTTTCTGATTTCCTTAAGAGGGTTACCCTAATGTGAAGACTGAGCACATATGGGAAGGACCCAAAAAACTCTGGAATTTATTTATAAAAAATTGTGTACTTTTTCTTCGTGTTTAAATTTGTCACCTAAGTACACCAACCAAGACCCTTTTTCCACTGCTCAAAACAGTTTTTGAACTCATCAATTTTGATGCCTCTGAGTGCTTCTCCTGTTTTTTTGTTTCACCTCTTCCACATTGATAAAAATGTTTTTCTTTGAGGATTTTTTCATCTGGGGAAACAAAAAAGTTGCTTGGGGGTGAGATCAGGTGAATAGGGAGGATGAGGCATGGGAGGGACATGCCATTTTTTGATCAAAAACTGCTGAACACTCAGCGCAGTGCTCATAAATCACCCATCATGAAATGGGCAAACACGATCAAAGAATTTCCAAAGAAAAAATTCACTGAAGCCAAATGCAGCCTCTCAAAACAACACTAGCCAGCCGGGCGTGGTAGCGCATGCCTGTAATTCCGGCAACTTGGAAGGTTGAGGCGGAAGGATCGCTGGAGCCCAGTAGGTGAGGCTGCGGTGGCCGGGAGCAGCCACTGCACTCCAGAGTGAGACTCCAACTCAAACAAACAAACAAACAAACAAACAAACAACACTAGCTGGTACACTGATGCCAAAGGGTTCCTAGAATACTTACCTAGTAGGGGAAGCCTGCTCTCCAAAAGATAATTCCAGTTTTTTGGAGTCCCCCCTCATATTATCCTTAAGATTTTTCTAGTATGTTTATTGTATTATTTTTACATGCAAATATTTATATATTTGTTTTTCTTCCTACATGAGATGAAATAGGACTCAGCTCTTTTCTTCCAAACGGACAAATAACATCGGTAGCATGATTAAATAAAACTATCACTTATTTCTAAATTGAAATGTTCTCTTTATCATATTAAGTTCCTATGTACTTTGCATTCATTTCTGAAATCTTTGGTCTGTTTCAGTGATGTATTTGTTTACTTCTATGTCAATTCTACATTGGTTTGATTAAAATTGCTTTATTATATTCTATCATCTAATAAGTCTGTCCTAACCTTGCTCAATTTATTTCTTGCAATTCTCAGTTACTATTATATCAGAACTTTATAATCATTTAATCTAGATTTCCCCCAAACCTTCTAGGGATTTGGATTAGAATTAACATTGATTTATTTGTTAATTTGGATAAGACAGCTAATCTGACATTGGGAAACATGGCATCCTTGCTTATATTGTTCAGCTCTTGTTTTATATGAAAATAAAAATTTCATAATTTTCTTTATATAGATTTTTGGACCTTTCTTTTGCAATTTATTACTGAATATTTACAACCGTGATGCAAATGTGAATGGATTTTTTTCCCCTTATTTTTATTTCTAATTAATTATCGAAGGCAAAAAGAAAATGGCTCATCTTTGTATGCTATCTTATATTTAGCCACCTTGCTAAATTATTTTATGAATCTGAAAGTTTGTTTTTGGTAGAATATCTTGGATTTTCTATATAGTCAAGCATACCATCTATAAATAAAGACCTTTTTGGTTCTTTTCCTCCAGTACTTTTAATATCTATTCAATTTTTTCAACTTATTGCCTTAGTCAGAACTTCCATATGATGCTAAGTAATGATGGTGACAGTGGGTCTTCACTCCTGTCTTATTCCTGATTTTAATGGCAACAATGTGACTACATCATAATTTAATATAAAGGTTTCTCTTCTTTTTGATAAATAATTTCTTTTTTATTTATCCTGTATGAAGAATATTTTAGTTAAAAATATATCACAAATGGCTGTAGAATCCATCAAATGTTTTTATTAACATATCAGTACAATGATGTTTACTTTTCTTTAATAAATTATATTTACAGCTATTTTAGACTTTAAGATATCTAAAACATTATTTTAAAATGTTCACAGTCATATAAAAAAGTGTATGAATCACAACTGTATAGCTCAGTGAACCTTCACAAGATGAACACATTAACCACCACCCAGGCCAGGAAAAAGAACCTTAGGAGGCTGCTCTGGGTCCTGCTACTAAGCAAAATCCATACTCCACAGGGAACCTGCATTCCAAATTCTAACACTGTTGTTTGGTTTGGTCTTTTTTGAATAGCATTAAGTATTCTGTGGCTGGTTCCTTTTGTCAACGTTGGATTTCTGAAACTCATCCATGTTGCTGCGTGTACTGTAGTTTATTTGCTTTCATTGCTGTGTAGTGGAGCCCTTATGAATCACGCCTTTGTAAAAATTCTGTATTTTATTTGGTACGTATGAGCATACATTTCTGACAGGAACATACACAAAATTGGAAATGGGCTTATTATAGTGAGGAGAGTCAGACGATAAAATGTAATACACAAGAGAAAGGGGAATGAGAACTGTATTATTCTAGATAGCATAACCAAAGAAAGGTTTTGAGGAGGTGATGTTTGAGCAGAGACCTGACTGAAGAGAAGAGGAGATTCAGGAAAAAAGAACACAGTCACGGCCTAGTAGGCACTATAAGTTGAGAATGAGTAAG